CACATTCACTCACAATGCCCGCCCTCTGGTTCTTCCCTCCATGCAACCTGGAAAACTTTTCCTCCAATGTCGGATTTCTCCAAGACCCGGCACTACTTCACTCTACCCCAGCCTGAATTTCTGGACTTCCTGCCCCACCCCCTCCACCCCATACCATCTGCACCGTGTCCCTGTGCTCACCCCAGGACTCTGACGGTGGGTGTCTGAGAGAGGAGGCAAGATGTGGTCAGCTGCCAAGAGCCGTGGGTGTCAGAGAAGAGGCGGATGACTTGTTCTGAGGGTCTGAGGCTGAACTCTGACCCTGTTCCCTAATCTCCAGTTTCCTGACTGCCGCACTCACTCCCAAGGTCTGCGTGGTCCAAAACTAGAGAAATGACTAGTCCTGTCACTTTTGAGATGCCTCAGAGAGCAGGCCTCGGGCCAGATGTGGAGAACGTGAGGGAGAGAGATCCCAGACCTGACCCAGCCTTACGGAGCACGTGACCCGGCTCCTGAGGCCTAAAGAGGACCCAGCTCACAGGAAGGCAAAGCCCTTGCCACTTCCCATCCCAGGCTGCAGGGTCACACGCTGGACCACCCTGCTCGAGGGGGGAGCTGGGACCAGTGTTTATGCAACTGTGGGGAGGCCACAGTCTAGCTGGCAGTGCCGCCCGCCCAGTACTAGCGCTGACTCAGCAGCTCCCCGGGCACGTCCACACTCACATGCATGCAGACAGCCACAGATACACATGCGCACGCGTACGCACACGTACAGGTAGACAAACAGGAACACATGTGGACAGGTGCAGGCACACCCAGACACAGATACTCAGGCACGGTGGACAGAGACCCACACACTTGCGCAGTGATACAGAGAAATGGAGGCATGTCCCCCTGACTCCCACCAAGGCAAGAGGAGAATGTGGAGTGAGGGTTGCCTGCACACCTGCAGCTGAGTGGCACCCTCTAGGTCCCTCCACCCCAACTGCTTCGATGCTGGGACCCACAGCCTCCCAATGACACCTGCACATGGTTGGCACAGCTGCGTGTGACAGGTCAAGGCCCCGGCATGGCTGTGTGGCTCTAGTGAGAACAAAGTCAAAGTCTGAGCCCTGACAAGGAATGGGCCCAAACACATCACCACCCGGCCCACTCCCCCTCATCCACACATGAAGGCTGGCAGGTGGTGGCTCAGGGTATCCTGGGAGGATGTGTGGGATGCCCCCTTCCACTGCCAAATCTAGTGTGTGGAAGCATCCAGGAGCTAGAGGGAACTGTGAGAGGGAGGGCATAAGGGGAGGCGATGCAGAAAACAGCATTCTTGAAAGATGGGGACAGGGTCCTCCTGGGATTTGGGACCCAATGTGAACTTCAGGGCAGGACCACTTCCATCCTGGAGGACCTCAGCCCAAGTAGAAAATTCCAGAAAGACTGTGCTGCAGGGGCTGGAGTGATAGCACAGCAGGTAGGACGTGTGCCTTGCATGCAGCCAACCTGAGTTTGATTCCCAGTATCCCATATTGTCCCCCGAGTACAGTCAGGAGTTTAATTCCTGAGTGCATAACCAGGAGTAACCCCTGTGCATCGCTGGGTGTGACCCAAAAAGCAAAACAAACAAACAAACAAAAAAAAAACAAGAATGTGCTGGAACCTGCAGATCAGAATGATACTACAGTGGATAGGGTACTTGTCTTACGTGAGGCCAACCAAGTTCGATCTCTGACATCCCATATGGTCCCCAAGCATCGCCAAGAGTAATTTCTGAAAGTGCCTCCCATAGAGGGACGCTGGGGGTAGGGGGTAGGGGGTTGGGAGATGGTGATGGGGAAACGGGGGACATTGGTGGTGGGAAATGTACACTGGTGGAGGGATGTACATTTCCCACTGCTGGATCATTGTATGACTGAAGCCCAATTATGAACAGATTTGTAATGGTCTATCTCATGGATATCCAATTTAAAAAAATTTTTAAAGTAATGTGGAGTTCATGCCCAATTCAATCAGCTTAATCAATGGCTGAATAAATATCAGTACTCCTACATAAAAAAAAAAAAAGTAATTCCTGAGTGCAGAGCCAGGAGTAAGCCCTGAGCACTGGTGGGTGTGCCCCTCACCACAGAAAAAAAATAATGTGCTGAAACCACTGACAACTAAGCCCCTGACAACTTTCAGAGGAGAGCATGGTGGGTCCTGGGCACGGTGCACAAAGTGAAGTGGCTGCAGCTTTCTGCTCCCATTAGCAGGCATTCATGCCCTCAGCCTGTCTCTCCTCAGATTCCCACATGGTCTTCTGGAGCAGAGGCCGGAGTGCCCTGTTTGTGTCACACCACCTGGGAGCCCTGTCATGCCTAGCGACTGTGGGTCCTGGTCCAGCTTCCTTCCTCATCAGGTCTTCCCACCACCCCCTGGCAACACCAGCCCAATCTCCCATGGTCCACAGAGCTAGCTGACCCTCATGTGCCCCAAAGCTTCCCTTTCCTTCCCATCAGCCCTCCCTGCTCCCTAGGCCATTCCCTGGAAGACACCTGTGGTCAGGCCCTGCTCCTGGGAAAGCTCCACCACCCATACACACACACTCACATACAGGCACACAAACACAGAGACACACTCACACACAGACACACAGAGATAAACACACACAGACTCACACTCACACAGACACACAGACACACACACAGACACACACACACACACACACACACAGACACACACACACACACACACACACACACACACACACACACACACACACACACACCCTCTCCAGTTTTTCTTTCTTTCTTGGTTTTTGGACCACACCTGTAAGTCCTCAAAGCTTATCCCTGGGTCTGCATTCAAGATGCACTATTAAGGAGTTCGGGGAACCGTATAGGGTATCGGGAATCAAACCTGGGTAAGCCATGTACAAGGCAAGCACCGTTCTTGCTGTACTCTCTCTGGCCCCTATTTTTCTGTTCTTTACCTCCTCTCCCTCCCCTGCTCTGCCCTCAGGGAATGTGCCTGCTCCAGGAACCTCCTGCAAGTGGGGTCTGAGCCTTTGACTGCCCTCAGCGTAATGCCCTCTGCTTCACCCATGTTAGATCACATATCAGAGCTCTCCCTCCTGAGAGCTGAGGACTGCTCCATTGCATGGACTTGGGGTCAATCCATTTGCCTGCTGTGGGACTCTTGGGTGGTACTCACCTTTGGCTGCTGGGAGCAGGCCATGTGACACAGGTGTGCAAACCTGCTTTCAGTTCTCTGGGTTAAATCTACAGCCTGGAACTACTCAAGCACAGGGTACCGATGCATTTCATAGCTTGAGGGCTTGCAGCACCACTTCTGTGACAGCTCTTGTACCACCATTGACCCCAGGCCCAATGTTCCAACATCCCCACGTGCACACCAACCCTCATTCTTTCCTGTTGTTCTTCACATTCACTTTCCTACTAGGAAGGAAATGGTATTTCATGGTGGTTTGGTTTGATTTGGGGGCCACATCCGGTGATGCTCATGAGGATATTCCTGACTCTGCACTCAGGAATCACTTCTGGCAGGTTTGAAGACCAAACCCAGGTCAGCCACATGCAAGGCAAGTTCCTTACCTGCTGTACTGTGCCCCTCCAGCCCCTCATGGTGGTTCTGTTAGGCATTTCTCTAATGATCGACAATGCTGAGCACTTTTTATGTACCTATTGGCCATTTATATACCTCCTTAGAAGCAGTGTCTCTTCAACTTCTTTGCCTCTTTTTTATTTTTTGTCACACTTAGAAATTCTTCATATATTCTGAATATTATCTCCTCTTTATTAAATCTTGTCCCAAATACTCTCTTCTCAGATAATCATTGATGGTCAGAGCGGTAGTATAGCGGGCAGGGTGTTTGCTTTGCATGCGGCCGACCTGGGTTCGATTCCTCCGCCCCTCTCAGAAAGCCCGGCAAGCTACCAAGAGTATCTTGCCCGTGTGGCAGAGCCTGGCAAGCTCCCCACGACGTATTCGATATGTCAAAAACAGTAACAACAAGTCTCACAATGGAGACGTTACTGGTGCCCGCTCGAGCAAATCGATGAACAGCGGGAGGACAGTGCTACAGTGCTCATTATTTAACATGTCAGTCCCTGCTAAACCTTCGCATTGGTTTAGCACATATAACGCACATACACATACATGATACACATACACACACACTCCCTTTCCTCCTCTCAGTTCCATCTCCAGAATCCCAACCATCCTGCAGGGCATGGACCCTCCTCCCCCATAAAACCTGTGGGAATCACCTCCTCCAGGAAGCTTCCCCTCATTCTCCCCACTGGGCTCTAAGGGAAATAGAGGGTCCTGACCCCCAATTCAGCTGTAGTCAACATAGCAGGAGATTGTAGGAGGTGTGCACCTCCCCACCAACACCATAGGTGTTACAAACCATGTTGCCCACCCCCAGAATCTGCAGCTAAGGGACCTGTTGGAAGTCCCAGATGCTGTCCCAGAGCCACATTTCAGGTACCTGAGTAAGGCCAGGGTCTACACGACCCCTTTGGATCTGACTACCTGGAGGCAAGGTTTACTCCTGCCCTGACAGCCATTCCCAGTGACTCAGGCCAAATTCATTTTCTGCTCTGGGCCTCAGTTTCCCTCTCTGTGACATGGGTGGCCAAAGTCCATGGTCCCTAGATTGCTGGCTGTGGAGTGAGAGCACTCAGACAATGCTCCTAAGGAACATCCCTATGTCCAGCCCACTGCCCACTGCCCACTGCCCACTGCCCACTGCCCTATTCGGGCAGGAGGGGAGAGGAGAGGAGCGAGAGAGGGACTGCAGCCTCCTTCTGGCCAGCCAGCTTCGACCCCACTGCCTCAGACAGGCTCAAAGTTTTGGTACACCAGATGGGACAGTTCTGATGAAATATTTAAGAATGACTACCCTTGTTTTGTCTGGGACTCACCAAATGTGTCCCACAGACTTTATGAAAGTCAACCAAGAGTCAACCAGAGAGATGAAGGATAGAAGGGAGGGAAGGAAGGAAGGAAGGAAGGAAGGAAGGAAGGAAGGAAGGAAGGAGCCGTTTATTGCTGAAGCGGTGAGGAGGAGGGGTACAGCCACAGGCAGTGCAGTCCTAGGGGAGCATGGCAGCCAGCAGAGAAGTCCAGAGGGGCTCCCCTCTTGCCCTGGCCACTGGTGTCAGTCTCACACGTGGGAGGTAGTCTGTCCCCAGCACAGCCCTCTCCCTGAGGACACAGGCTCCAGGGGCAACAGGGGACGACTGGGAGCTCGGCTGGTGCAGAGGGCGGTGGCGGCAGGGCTGGGTGCAGCAGGCACGGGGCAGGGGAGCAGGACAAGGGTGGCAGAGGTGGCCGCAGTTTGAGAGGGAGCACCTTAGCTGGCCATGATGTGCTTCACGAACGCTGCAAAGAGGAGGAGAGCAGGGCACAGGGTGGGCACTGGGTGCCTGAGGGATCCCAGAAGCCCCTGCACCCCTGTGCCCTGGGCCTACCTTCATAGTTGATGCAGCCGTTGGAGTCCTCCTGTCCAGCCATGAGTTTCTCCACCTCGTCTTCCGTCAACCGCTCACCTGGGGGCAGGGGCAGTGGAGTTTTCAGGGTGGGGGGCAGGGGGTCTGCGTCCCTGGTGCCCCACACCTCGGACCAGCACAGCATCATTGCTCATGAGGTCCTGGCTCCCCCATCCTGAGACCACCAGGCTCGGCTCCAAGGCCCAGTTGGGGAGACAAGACGGGAGGGTGGGGGAAGCTACAGGCTGGGGCCACCTCCAGGCCTGGCCCTGGCTGGACTCTGCCACAGCAGTACTTAGGCACCAGCTCTATGCCCTCCATTCGTGACAGGTTCAGGGCACCTCCATCCCTGGAAACTCCGCTAAGGAAGGACCCACAGTGGAGCTGGAGACCTGGGGGAATGAGGACAGAATGGACCAGGAGACATCAGCACTGGCTCCCGGAAGCTCCTGAGCCCATGCATTTGTGGGCCTACACCCCCACCCCACCACATTGACTCCCATAAGCCCAAGACTCAAGTTTGGGCTCATAGCAGGAACTCAGTAACTATTTGCTGAGGGAAAAGTGCTTTTGAGAAGGGGATGCCCCCGCCAGCTAGGTACCTAGAGGGGATGGGAGGTACCCAGGCCCCCAGGCTGCCAGGAGGTCCGAGAGGCCACAGAGAGCACCTTGGTCACTCCTGTCCCAGGAAGTGACCAGAAGGCACCAAGTGCCAGGATTTGGTGGAACTCGGTGGTCTGCACCAACAAGCAGACTTGAGCCCCCGCCAACCGCCCTGGCTCCCCACTTGTTTGGTGTCACTCTTTCTCCACTGCAGTAGAGACACGGGCCTGGATAGTGATCGAGTGACCACACGGGCCCTCCCAGCAGGCTCGACGGGCAGTGCAGGACAGGGGCGGCCCTCACCCAGGGTGGCCAGCACATGGCGGAGCTCGGCGCCCATGACGGTGCCATTGCCCTCCTTGTCGAAGACCCGTAGCCCCTCCACAAAGTCCTCGAAGGTGCCAGTGTCCTTGTTCTTGGCGATGTGCTGCAGCATGGGCAGGAACGTGTCGAAGTCCATCATCTTGGTGTTGAGGTCTGTGGAGAGAGGAGAGAGGGTCCCGAGAGCCAGACTCGACTGGGTGAAGGAGGCGTGATTATCCTCTGACTGCTCCTGAAGCGCCCTACCCCGACTGGCCATTTGCAAAGCTGTCCCTGTGCCAAGGGACTTGACAGAGGTGGAGGGTGCAGTGAGCACCTTGTTTCCGGTATTCCCGCAGCCTCCTGGTGGGTTCCACCCAGCCCCTCTCTGTTCCTCTGAGATGCCTCCCCCTACCCCATACACACACACACACACACACACACACACACACACACACACACACAAGCACACATGCACGCACACACGCACTGAGGGCTGTGGTACCCGCCTCCCAGGAAAACTGGCCAATCAGAGCCTTGCCCAGGAATTTTGGGGCCTGAGGTCTGGACCTGCCCCTCACCCCTCCTCAGGAGCCGAGAGGGTCAGGCCTAGACCAATAGAGACACTGAGAGGACAAAGAAGCAGAGAAATCCAGGACAGCCCCTGGAGGAGATCCCGGCCCATCCTCAGACCAGCCCAGTGACTGGTGCCAGAGAAGGCCGAGATCACGGCAAGGACAGAGCATGTGCACAGCACAGAGATGCCCCCGCTGTCACCCCCGCCTCCCAGGAGGGGTTCTGTGGGGACTCTTGAGCGAGACTCACCTTCCTGTTTGGGCTTCCCCAGCACGCGGAGCACCTCGGCCTGCGTGGGGTTCTGGCCCAGTGCCCGCAGGACGTCCCCACATTGCCCGAACGTGATCTTCATCTCGCCCTTGGGCGTGCGGTCAAACAGCAGGAAGGCCTCCTTGAACTCTGCAGAAGAAGGTGTGAGTGGAGAGGGCCCCCAGCCACGCCCCCCCACCCCCACCACCCCCAGCCCACCCGTCCTCACTCACCCCACCAGCCCAGTCATCACTTACCTTCAATCTGCTCGGGTGTAAATTCAATCTGTAAAGAGATCCCCCCCAAATTAAGTGCTGACTCAGAGACAAAGTGCGGCCAGGTCCCCTGCACAGGCCCCTCAAGCCATCAACTGTCCCCATGGCCAACCTCCAGAGTCCACCCCCACAAACTTTCTGCCACCTTCCCAGGCATCCCCCTCTCACCTGGGGGCCTGTGCACTGCGTGTGCCCACCCCCCAGTAGCCTGATCGCTCCCCACAAGGGTAAATGTGAGAGGGGACCAGAGGTCCAGCCTTCTTCGACAGCTCCCCTCAAGTGCCCAAAGCCAAAAGATCCAACCAGAACTTAGCCCCCCAGCACCCCGCCCCCAAGCCTGGAGCCCTGAGAGAAAGACTGTCCACAAGAGTGAAACAGGAGACTGGGGGGCAGGTGCAGGGGACAGGCAGGGCTGCTGAGTGTTCACTGAGGCTGCTCACGGCCACCTAAGGCCCGGACGTCCCCCTCCTCACTGATACCAGAGCTATTTTTATCACTGCAGTCACTTGCCCCAAGGTCAAGGTCACTGGAGGGAAGGGAGCCTGGGGGAAGGGTCGTCCCTACTGAGGCCCCCTTGGAGGTCCACCCACCTCCATTGTGCACCCCAGAGCACAGAGGCCCCCCGGCCCTCCCCTGTGACCCCCCCCCCAGTCCTGCCATGAATGTCCCCCCAGCTCTCGGGCCCAGCTCACTGTGGAAGGAAAAGAGCCGAGTTCCCTCTGCCTCCCGGGAGCCAGCTGAAATTAGGTTCCCCATGTCTCAGCGAAGTCAGAGGCAGGGGTGGGCAAACAAGGCGTGTTACTCACTGTCCAGGTCAGTGAGACTGGACAAATGTCGCCAGGAGTGCCAGGGCATAGCAGCCTCACCAAGGAGGTTGTGGGACAGGTCCAGGGACAAGGTGGGGACAGGGCACTGTGAGGACAGGCAGGGAGTCAGCCCAGGGAGCATTTGTGACCACTGGGTTCCAGCAGCCTGCAAGGAGGACACGCCGATGGGCCCATTTCACAGCTGAGAAAACCAAGGCTCAAGGGAGAGTCGGAGAGATACAGCTTCACAGGCTGGTGTACAGGTTTTGCCTGCGGGAGGCCTGGGTTCAGTCCCCAGCACTGATTGGTGCCACCCCAGAGCAAAGGAGATGGATAGAGCGGAGTCAGGATCCGAACCGACATCTCCAGGCGGGAACAGACGCGGTGGGTATCCCCAGGAAGTGCTCTCCAACTGCACAATGGCAGATGGGAACGTGAGAAGCACGCTGGCTCCCCAGGGCCCTTCGCAGGCCGCCAGGACAGCAGGGCCAGTGGCCAGCCAAGAGCAGGAAGAGGCGGGCAGGGCAAGTGAGCGTGCCGCTATGCAGATGCCACAGGTGGGAGTCAGGGTTGCTTCTCCCAGTTTAGACTCTGAGAGTCCCCAGCCAGGGCACGGGGGACGGGGACACCATCCACCACCCTGCACCCAGCTTCCTGTATGGCCAACCCAGACGGCTTCCGTTTTCCCACCCGAAAGAAAGCCGAGTCCCCATCAGTCCTGGGGTTCAGGACCACCACAGAGTGAGTGACCCCCAACCTGGGGCTGCTCCTCCCCCACCCCTCTCCACCCATGCCAGGCGACCCAGCTTGGACTCAGGAGCCCACAGCTAGATCCTGCGTTGGGGGTACAGGCGACTCCAGCTTCTCCAACATGTGAGGGCCAGGGGGAAGTATGGGATGGGCAGAGGTCAGTTTCCAAATCACGGGACAGGTGTCCCCACTGGCTGGTGTCCTGGGGGAGTCCTGTCTCCTGTCTGAGCCCATTCCTCCCTCCGATGCCAGAATCGCTGACCTTGGCACAGAGGCCTCTCGCTGCAGCCCAGTGCCTCCTTCTGGAGCCTGGCCCAGCCTGCCCTGGACGGGTTCTCCTGGGAGCCATTTACCTGGGTGCCCCTTCAGCACAGCCCGGGCCCCACACACACCCACCTTGATCTTGGAGGCATCAAACTCGGGTTCCTTGGGAAGCTCGGGCTCGAGACCCGCCTCGGGGGCCGCCGCAGGGGCTGGAGCTGCAGCTGCCTTGGGAGCTGCCTTGGCCTCCTCCTTCTTGGGTTCCGGTTTTTTGGGGGCCATGGACGCTGAGAGTACAGAGAGGGGTGTGGCGAGGAGCAAGGCTGGAGGAGGGAGAAGGCCTGATGCAGGGTGGGGGGAGCTCTGAGCCTTTATCTGCCTCCTGACCCCAGCCCCACCCCTCCGAGCACTATAGGGCCAGGGCCATAAAAGGGCATTGGCCAGGCGAAGGTGCTATTTTGGGGCCTGGGGAGGGCATTGTTCAGGAATGGGTAGGCAGAGGCAGGACTCTGGTTCCTTCCAATCACCTGTCGGGAGGGGTGGGGGACAGGGGCTCAGAGGCCAAGATTCAGGGCACACGCACCGAAGGGTCCCCACCACCCCTCAGTAGCTCATTACATTGAACAGGTGCAGAAGGTTCGGTGCCCAGAGCCGGGGGCCGAGGGTGGGGGTCAGCTAAGGGCATCTCTTGAGTTGAACTTCTCATCGGGACATCAAATTCCCAGGCGTCTGCATGGCCGTGTAGAGGGCATGAAAGTCCTGTGTGTGTGTGTGTGTGTTTGTGTGGTGTATATGTGTGCATGTTTGTGTGTGGGGTGTGTGCATGTGTGTATGTGGTGTGTGTGTATGTGTGATGTGTGCATGTGTGTTTGTGTGTGGGGTATATGTACATGGGAGGGTGTGGTATGGGGGATATGTGAGTGTGTTTGTGTGGTGTGTGTGCATAGGGCGCGTATATGTGGGGAGGCATATGCCTGTATGTGTGTTTGTGTATGGTTTGTGCATGTGGGGGGATGGTGTGTGTATGTGTATGTGCGGTGTGTATAGTTGTGTGTATGTGTATTTGTGCGTGGAGTATGTGTATATGTGGAGGTTTGTGGTATGTGTGTATGTGGGGGGGAGGTGTATGTGGGGAATGTATATGTGTATGCGTGTATATGTGTTTGTGTGTGGGTGTGTGTATGGGGGGGTGTATGTGTGTTTGTGTGGGAGGTGTGTATGTGGGGGATGTATATGTGTATGTGTGGAGTGTGTATGTATGTATGTGTGGTGGTATGTGTGTGTATGTGTATTTGTGTGCAGGGTGTGTATTTGGAGTACATGTGTGTATGTGTGTTTGTGGGGGGGTGTATGTGTGTGAGGGGATGTGTATGGGGGATGCGTTTGTGTTTGTGTATGGGGTGTGTGTATGTGGGGGGAGTATGTGTGTATGTGTGGTGGTGGGATGTGTGTGTATGTGTGGTGTGTGTATGTGTGTCTCGGCTGTGTACTTTGGGTTCTCTGGGTCTCCAGGCAGGTAGGTCTGTGCATATCTCTGTGTGTTGCTGTCTGGGGGTCATTCTGTGCTGCCTGAGGCGGGGTGGTCCTGCTGCCTGCGCCCTGGCGCCCAGGGCCCGAGTTGGCTGTTTACACGAAAGCCGGGTCTGCCTGCGTCTGCCTGAGTGTCTGGGTGTTTGTTTATATGTGTCTGTGCGAGCCTCTGGTCATGGCTAACAGGCAGCTGCTGCCTCAGCAATGGGTCAAGGGTTTCCAGAACACCCCAAGTGGCAGGAGAATGGATGTGACTCCCTCAAAGCCGACAGTTAGCCTCGGCCACAACCCGCCACTCGAAGCCCCTCACAAGCACCCCCCAGGCCCTGGGCCAGGCTCTGGGCTCCCCATCACTTCCTATCACCCCTCTTCCTCATCCCCCAGTGGGTGACCCAGGTTCCCTCCCCCACAGCTGTTTTGCTTTGGTTTTTGTTTGTTTGGGGGCCACACCTGGCAATACTCAGGGGTTACTCCTGGCTCTGTGCTCAAGGATCACTCCTGGCGGTGCTCGGGAGACCACATGGGATGCTGGGGATCCAACCCAGGTCTGCTTCGTGCCAGACAAGCACCCTCCCCACTGTGCTATCTCTGTGCAGCCCCCCTTTCCCGACACCTGGACCCTGCTTCCTGCACACACCCTACCTCTGCCACTGCCCCCCACCCCCACCCCTGCCTTTAGCTTGCCACAGCCAGAGCTCCTCGTTTTTCATCAGTTTCTTTTTAATTTAATTTTATTATCTTGTCTTTAGTTTAGGGCCACACCCAGCTGTGCTCAGGGCTGACTCCTGGCTCTGTGCTCAGGGGTCACTCCTGGTGGTGTTTGGGGGACCATGTGTGATGCTGGGGACAGAACTCCAGCCATCTGCATGCCAGGTCGGCGCCCTACTTTACCCCCTCCTTCAGAAAACTCTGGGGTGTCACTGCCACCACGCCGCATGTGTCTTGGACCCTTTCGGTGGTGGTCCCCGAGAGGGCTGCTGAGACACGCCAGGGGACTGTTTTCCAGGGCAGGATGCTCAGCCCCATTCATCCCCACTCTAGTGCTCACCCAACTGGCAGCGACAGGCCTGGCCGGGCCACCCTTAGAGAGGAGCTCGGGGAGGAAAGATGAGGTGCAGAGGCCCCCCCAGGACCGAAACCTGAGAGGGAGGACATCTTGTGAGCACATGGGGTTCAGCCTGCCCGGGCTGTGCTGCATGCGGGGTGGAAGGAGGTGTTCCTTGTTATTTTTAAGTGCCTGGAGCCTTTGATAGAAACTTCAGAGGCGATCCCTGCCCCACCTCCCAGCCCCAGGGGACCTCCTGGGGCTAGGATGAGACTAGGGGAGGGGGGCTTCCTCTGGGGCACCCGCACACCTTCCCCTGCATCCAGGCCCTCCTCATCCTCTCACTCTGCTGAGCAGTGAGGGGGCCCCCTGAAGTCCAGCGCTAGGGCCAGGCCTCCTCCTCCTCCTCCTCCTCCTCGCTGGGACCCGGCACATTCCTCCCCTCATCTGGAGGGCAGAATCACTCGCATCTGGAAATCTGACAACATCCGGGGCTGGGGGAGGGCAAGTTTTTCACTTTTATTCCAGATGTTTGGCAACAGTATTAAGAAAGGGGTGGGGGAGGGTCCCCATAGAAGAGCCAGAAATACCGCAGGGGGAGAGGCCAGCCAGAGGGGCCACACACAAGAGGCCTCCGGGCAGCCTGAGGTCGGGCCAACTGACCCTCCCGACACCCCACTCTGGATTTCCTCCAGGGCCTCCGGGCACTCACAGGCTCAGCCCACAAGAGAAGGTAAGGCCCAGGAATGCGGCCCCACTGTGGGTCAAGGGGCCCCCAACCACAGGCCCCCCAAGACCTCCCGTCTCGTTTCTCCCATCCCTTCGGAACCACACTGCCTCTGCTGGGCCGAGGCGAAGTGAGTGACTAGACTCTGCACTGGGCCCCGAGGTGTGAGGGAGAGGCTCAGCCCATTCCCTCAGGCACAGGACAGGTGTGGCCTGCACTGGGGCATGGGGGGACACAGTGACTCCTCATGGCATAGAGAGAGGCTGGGGTGGCCTTGGCCTGCCCCAGTCTGTTCTACAGAAGCTCTGCTTCCTGGGAGCAACAGTGACCCCTGCCTCACCCCTTGGGATGTTTCTCCGACCTACCTCCAGTGCCCAGCACCACTCCACACCCCCGCCCCCTGCTGGGCAGGGCCAGGATGGGCAGGCAGATGGGCAGGGGAGGGGCTCGGGGGAGGGGGCCTTGGGACGTGGGCAGCAAAGACCAGCCCCGTGGAGGCAGGACTCTTGTTTCTGGCCAAGGTGCCAGCCTGAGCTCCCGCCTTCAGGAAGACCCTGCAGACCAGCCAGCGGCTGGCAGGACACGGGGAGGGGGGGGGGGGCTGCCAAGTCTGCACCCAGGGCCTGGGTCCTTCCCTTCCGGCTCCTGAGTGCCCATGTCCAAGCAGTGGCCCCGTCCACGCAGACCCACACGTGTCCCATTCCAGAGCCCTCTGGGGACAGCTTCGTTGCTCCCTCCCCCCACCCAGGGTGCTGTTCCCGACTCTGACTGCGGGGACTTTGACAGAGCAGATGATTGGATAGAGGCAGGACAGCCCCCAGCAGGCTAGTCTCCTCAGGCTCTCTGCAGGCTCGGGTGTTAGCCCAGGATCCCTCCCTCCCACCCCCACCCCGGCCCCATCACCCGTCACGGCTGTCAGTACTTGTCAGGCCCACTCTGAGGGAGATGTCGCCTCCTCTGAGAAGCCTCCACAGGCTCCCTGAGACTCACTCCTCTGGCTCTCCATCCCCAGCCCTGAGAACAAGCTGGTCTCCCTAGTCACAGGCCCTCACAGGCCCTCTGCACGTCGCCGGCCAGCGTGGGAGGACTTCTGTTCATCCACGACTGTCAGACCCAGGATCCAGACCACAGCCTCGTAGACAGAAGGCGCTCAATAAATGCTGGATGAGTAATCCCTCCCAGGCCTGGCTGGTTTCTCTCAGCGCCACCGGAAGGAACTCCTGAGAGTGAGGGTGAAGGCCAAGAGGGACCTGGGAACGGGGAGGGATTTGCTGCCGACTGGCAGAAGTTCTGGCAAGTGCAGGAGCCTCCCCGGACAGAGATGCAGACCGAAGCAGCCCCTAGGCTCACCTCAACCCTAGCTGCCCTTTAAACCACTCCCCCTCCCCCAATAGTTGGAGGATCCTGTCCCAGTGGGAGGGGTCCCGGAGCCGCAGGCTGAGCCCAGCTCGCTGCACTGTGGTGATCAGCCAGCAGAGGGCGCAGAAGGGACAGGAACTGACCTTCAGATGGGGAACCCAGACCCAGTACCCAGAATCCCAGCCCAGAAACAGAAGGATCCCGCCAGGAGAGGAGGGAGCTGGCTAGAGGCTGCCTGGGGACACATCCCTCTGCTCCCAGACCTCAGAGACCCAGACTGCGGATCTGGAACCTGAAATCCCAAACCCAGGCCTCAGACTTAGGCCAGGGAATCTGGAACCCAGAGGCCAGCCCCTGAGCCAGCCCTGGAGACCAGCACCCCCATATCCAGCATGGCAGACCCAGACCCCAGAGCCCAGGCCGAGGTCCCAGAGAGTCTGACCCCGGACGCCAGGCCCACACACACAAGTGGCACCAGGACCCAGGACAGGGCCTGCAGGAGCTCCTCCACGTGGCACGGCCACTGCCAGCCCAACTGTGTAGACAAGGGCGGGGCAGGGGGCAAACTCTTGGCAAACAGAATGGGAATGCTTGGCAGACCTTCCTGGTAATGTTCAGAAGGGCATGAGGAATGTCCCTCATCCTGTCAGAGCCAATTGAGGCAGCTCAGAATATGGTGGCCACATGGTAGGGAA